AAAAAAAAAAAAGTTTATTTAAAACTGGAAAGTAACTTGGTTTCCGTCTACCGGTCTGAATCTTTAAAGGGACATTGCTGTTTGAAAAAGAAATAGGACATACTTGAAATCTCCAAAGCAATGGGACTAAAAAACATTTCAGGTTTCATGGTGACACATTAAGGAGACAAATCATATAGAAGGTGACAATGAAATAGTGCTCAAAAGATTACACTGAGATAACAATATGCTTGGGCCTTACTTGTCTTTAAAATGTAGAAAACCACCTCTAATCCACTTGTGTCCCCTAGGGAATAAAGGAAGGTTTTTGTTTAATTGGTGGTGTATCTTTTTCAGTTTCTTGCTTTTTGCTTTTATTTTTTTTTTATTTACCAAGTCACCGAGGAGCCAGAGCATCTGATTTGTCTTTCATTGTTCCTCTAGAAATGATATGAAAACATTATAATACTTTCCTATCAAACCTTTATTTTATTTGTGTGTTTAACTTGGTCCAAAAGTCCTGGGATACATTCATTTCAGGAATGGCTAAATATGGCGGTCATGTAAACTGCATCTGGCAATTGAAAAGAGATCAAAGTGACCGATGTCATCTTTAACCAGCCCATCTCAAACTGCCCGGGACACATGACTTATGTTTACATAAAGACTCAGAAGACAACTGCAGAGATGATATCACGAGTTAAAGTGGACAGCTTAAGGCTCTCTAAATTAAAAATGACATTACCTCATCAGTTAAAATTGTGTGCCAGTTTTGTGTATATCAAGAAGAAAATAAAGCTGACATTGATGGAGCTAAGCATTAACATATGTGAATTATTGTATTAACTGCATTTCCTCTGCTGTGTCTGATGCTTCCAGGAGTAATCCCTTGGCCTGCTAACATCGCTGTCCCTTTGCCCCTTTGCAGAGGAATTGTGTGTTCATTTCTTAATACTTTGGGAGATGCTTTGCATGATAAAAGAAGACAAAAGCAGATGAGGAGGAGATGGAGAATGAAGAGGGGGAGAAGGAGGAGGAGGAAGAAAGCATTATGCTCAAAATCCTACCCAGCCTTTACCCATGGACTGGAGGCAGCTGGAACGAACACCATCTCTGTATTCATCAAAGCCTCACAAGTTGGCATTTATGGCGTAATTCCTTTTATCTCCACTGCTTCATTGACAAGGCAGGTCTGCGTGGGTTGCCCATGCTTTCTTATAATTTAACTGTGATCTGAACCGTTGACTGTGTTGGGCCTGGCCACTGTGCACCCGGCTCTGCAAGATAAGCTTTTTACTTGAATCTTGACATGTTTTGAATACTAAGTGGCCAAATTCTAGTGCCTGGTGCCTTCCAGGCACAAATAAGAGAGGTGGGTCAGGCGTTCTGAAGAAGGAAGGGCGTTTCTGTTGAGGCTACGTTTCTCCCAGGTACCAGAGAACTCAGCTAACACAGTGCCCGTGAGCTGCAGGGGAAGAAGCTGGTATTTTAATTCACGTATCCTCCAAGAGTAAAATACTAGGCTCTTCTCTTGGCAGAAGCAAAAGCTATTTTTAAAAGAGTGTGTGTGTGTGTGCCTTTTGAGGGGAGGAGGGATTAGAATCTCTTCCCTGCCATAGATAAGTCATTGCATAATTAAGTGCCAATTTTGGGAAACTGAATTATTCAGGAATACTCTAGTTACATTTGTCAACTGGAATGCTGCTATCGTTTCGGCACTTCCCTCCAAAGTACCATCCAACAGGGCCCCAAAGAGTATCACAAATAGAAGTCCTTGTAAATATTCAGGAGGGTGTCTTGCGCACAAGTTGCAAAAGGGTGGTATTGCCAAAGAAGTTAAGGAAGCAGCTTGCATCTCCCTCTGGAGTTGATACCAGCTCCACTCGATACGTTTTTGCGCTGGCAAGTGTGGTGCCAGGAATGCAGCTGGTGTGCCAGCGTCGCTCCCTAGAGTCTAAATGTGTCACCACTGCAACGCACCCAGCCTGCATTGGCCTGAGGCCCAGGATACTGAGTTTGCAAATTTCGATCCCCCAGGAGGCTGCATATTGCTCTGTTACTGCTGCCAGTGTGGCAAACATGGCGCAGCTTGGAATGTCGTGACAGCAGAGCCCTGGAAAGGTGAAAATGCAGGCAACCTGTCTGACTCTCATTCATTCGCCACGCTCCAGCCACTGGATGGTAACTGGGAACTGTATCTGCGGAATCTAATTCCTAGGGGAGGAATTCTAGTGGAGGGCTGGAAAGTTGACTCCTCTATAAGTTTGGGTCCCTGCTCTTGAAAGGGGATGGTCTGGGTGACAAGGAGGCTGTGTCTCGGTCTAGAGGGCACTGCCCTTCTATGCAGGGGTCTGGAAGCTGGGCCTGTTCCTCTCTGCTCACAGTGCAGACTTGGTGCTATCTAAGGTTCCCTACCCAGACCTTATCCTCCCCACCTACAATCACAGGAATGAAAACGTGATGCAAATTTTTAAAATACCTCGGGGGGGGGGGGGGTTGACCAAAAATGCATACACATTTTAAGACATGTCATCTATGCATTACTTTTCCAAGTTGAATTGAACTACAGTATCAATATAGTATGACCTTTGTTCAAAGATGGCATTAATCAAATGAATGCTAGTGTCACTATGTGGCAGGCAGGAAAGTCAAAGATAATGGCAGAAGCATAGTTGTGGTTGGAGGAGCAGAAGCCCAATTTGAAGTCATATTTGAAATTCAAGAATGTTCCCTTCTCTCCACATTGGCACAAGCATCTGCAACTTTGGGACTAACTAATACAGCCTCTTTGGAAAGAAGTATGGAGACTCCTCAAAGAACTCAAATTAGACCTCCCATTTGATCCTGCAATCCCATTACTAGGCATCTACCCAGAAGGAAAAAAAAATATTTTATCATAAGGACATTTGCACTAGCTTGTTTATCGCAGCTCAATTCACAATTGCTAAGATATGGAAAGAACTTAAATGCCCACCAACCCAGGAATGGATTAACAAGCTGTGGCATATGTATACCATTCAGCCATGAAAAAGATGGAGATTTTACATCTTTTGTATTAACCTGGATGGAGTTCAAGCATATTCTTCTTAGTAAAGTATCACAAGAATGGAAAAGCAAGTATCCAATGTACTCAATACTAATATGAAGCCAGAAGATGATCTAATACACGCCCACATAAGAGAAAATTCAATTCAATTCAAGTTGGGGGGAGGGGGTAGAAGGGAGGTAGGGCGGGGAGGAGGGAGCGGGATTGGTGTGCTCTCAGTAGGCACAATGTGAGGGTATATGGCACACCTGGTGGGTGCAGGACATAACTACAAGAGGGACTCTACTGAACAAATGGAAACATTGTAACCTAGTTGGTTGTACCCTCACATTAACCTGAAATTAGCTCAGTGGGTAAGGCACCCACCACATACACCCAGGCTGGCGGGTTCAAACCTGGCCCCAGCCAGCTAGACAACGACAACTGCAATAAGAAAAAATAGCCAGGCATTGTGGTGGGCGCCTGTAGTCCCAGCTACTTGGGAGGCTGAGGTAAGAGAATTGCTTAAGCCTAAGAGTTTGAGGTCGCTGTGAGCTGTGATGCCACAGTACTCTACAGAGGGCAACATAGTGAGACTCTGTCTCAAAAAAAATTTTTTTTTGTAGAAGTACAACAACAATGGAGGCATGAGTATGGAGGACCTTTAGGTAGGTGATGTACCGTAGAAAACTGGCTATGTTGGTGGTATTCGGGAAGAAATAATGACATGCACAGAAATACAACTAGGCGCTTTGGTCACGGTCACTCAAGCAATAGTTCACCCGAATCAGAAGTGTCTGAAAGCTGATGGTCAACACTTTGAGCACCTTTTGCAATTGCAGAAGTCAAACAGGGACTTGTGTTCATCTTTTATTATCACTATATATTGAGTATTACAATTTCGGTACAGTTTTTACTTTTTTTTTTTTTTTTTTGGCAGTTTTTGGCCAGGGCTGGGTTTGAACCCACCACCTCCGGTATTTGGGGCCGGCGCCCTACTCCTTTGAGCCACAGGCACTGCCCACAGTTTTTCCTTTGTTAAAATGTGGATACATTTTTTTTATTTTATATTCAGAATCTCTCTTTAGGCTTCTTTCCCATCCTATAACAATAAACAGAACGCGTGGTGTACATTTACAGGAAAGTACTGCAAAGATCTCTGCCTAACCCTTTTGTAATTAAAAAGTATTTTCTTACAGTTTCCGTTTTGAGCTGTAATATACCAGGTGGACGTCCCTGGCTTTCGAATCCAAGATCCTCCAGCTAAACGCCTTTTTTTCTTACCTACTTCCCCAAACTCACCCTACCCGGGTAGATGTGGGTGGTGAAAACAT